CATGCCCGGGTAATTTTTGTGTTTTTAGTAGAGACGGGGTTTCACCATATTGGCCAGGCTGGTCTCAAACCCCTGACCTTGTGATCTGCCCGCCTCGGCCTCCCAAAGTGTTGGGATTACAGGTGTGAGCCACTGTACCTGGCCAAAACAACTTTTTTTTAGAGACAGAGTCTTGCTGGGTTACCCAGGTTGATCTTAAACTCTTGGCCTCAAGTGATCCTCCTGCCTCAGCAGGCTGAGCAGCTGGGACTGTAAGCATAGACCATTGCATCTGGCAGGAATACATTTTTCTTTTCTTTTTTTCTTTTGCGGGAGTGCAGTGGCTCATCTCCGCTCACTGCAAGCTCCACCTCCTGGGTTCACACCATTCTCCTGCCTCAGCCTCCCTAGTAGCTGGGACTACAGGTGCCTACCACCACACCGGCCTAATTTTTTTTTTTTTATTTTAGTAGAGACGGGATTTGACTCTGTTAGCCAGGATTGTTCTTTGTCCTGACCTCGTGATGTGCCTGCCTTGACCTCCCACAGTGCTGGGATTGCAGGCGGTGCAGCCACCGCTGCCCGGCGTTTTTTTATTTTTTATTTTTTTAATTTGTGTTTTGAGACAGGTCTGCTCTGTTGCCGTAGGCTTGGAGTTGCAAGTGGCGTGGATCTCAGCTCACTGGCAAGCTCCGCTCTCGAGTTTACGCCTTCCCTGGCCTCAGCTTCGCTGAGTAGCTGGACTGCAGGCGCCCGCCACCTCGCCCAGCTAGTTTTTTGTATTTTTGTAGAGAGGGGTTTCACCGTGTTAGCCAGGATGGTCTTTGATCTCCTGACCCTCGTGATCTGCCCGTCTCGGGCCTCCCCAAGTGCTGGAATGTATAGGCTTTGAGGCCTCCGCGCCCAGCCTGTTTTATTTTTTAAATATGTTTTTTATTTTGCCTGTGGACTCAGCCTCAGGAGGTTTCTGGAGACATGTATCGAAGGAATACATTTTGATCACAACCTTGTACACCAAGGTTAAAGAAAAAACGTGTGAAATATATTTTTTTTACTGAATGCTTTCTGCAATGTTCTATTCCTATTTCTCTTTATTTAAAAAGAAATGTGGCTTTTTTTTTCTTTCTTTTTTTTTTTTTTTTTTCTGAGAAGGAATTTCCCTTCTTGTTGACGCACCCAGGCCTTGGAGTGCAAGCTGGCGCGATCGCTTCACTGCAATCTCTGCTCACTGCAATCTCTGCCTCCCAGGTTCAAGTGATTCTCCTCCCTCAGCCTCCCGAGTAGCTGGGATTACAGGCATGCACCACCATGCCCAGATAAGTTTGTATTTTTAGTAGAGACAGGGTATCTCCATGTTGGTCAGGCTGATCTCAAACTCCTGAACTCAGGTGATCTGCCCACCTCAGCCTCCCAAAGTGCTGGGATTACAGTCATGAGCCACCGCACCCAGCCCAAAAATGTGGTTTATAGTTCATTGAACTGATTTCATCACCCACTAGTGGGTCACAACACAGTCTGAAAAACTGTATTCTACAGGAAATATGGAGGCAGCTCTCCTTCTCCCACCCCAAATTCTGTTTTAAGTCTGGTGACTGTGAACCATAACTGATAGTTTCAAAATTCAAGTCATATTTATACAAAAGAAAAATTGGGGCATGATTATATTTTCTAAAGTATCTGTGTTTCAAAACAAGTTAACTTCCATAAAGCAGTGAAAATACAGTATTTAGAGATGCTAGAGAGATAGGAAATGGATTGGAAGAGTTGATGGGGCCTTCTTGGAGAAGGCAGATCTTAAGCAAAACATGAGGGGAAGGAGGACTGGTGGTTTTACAAGAAGTGGGAGGTGTCTGAGATCGAGAGGCAGCATCTTCATCAGGAACTGCAGAAACACATGTCAGAGGTCTTGCATGCCAGCCATTTCTGCTGTCTGTTTCTGGCATAGGCCTTGCACACACTCTCACCTCTGCCTAGACCACACTTCACCTATTTACAGATACTCATCCGTCGTCCTTCAGAGTTCAACATGGGGACGCTACTCAGAACACCATGTCTACATCAAATTATCTCTGTTTAATACTTTTATAGCACCACGTATATCCCCACTTTGTAACACTCACCACTGGTTGCAATTTTATATTTATAGATCTGATTATTTGATGAATATGCTTTCTCCCTGACTGAAAGCTATGTGAGGGCAAGGAGTGGGACACTTTTTACTTGTTATAGTCCCTCTACCTGGCACACAATTTATGTTCATTAAATACTGGTATTTGCTAAATGAACTCCTGGTAATTGGATTAGAGTCCAGCCTCCTCACTCTCTGTTTAGTGCTGCAGGGGGAAGGTGACCTGAGCCTTGGAAAGTGTCCGACTCTTCCTTTTAAACCCCTTTCTACAGAGGAAGAATTCTCCTGCTTGTGGCAGGAATGTGGCTTTTGTTCTCTGGACAATTCTGCTGACCTCATCCGCCATGTCTACTTCCACTGCTACCACACCAAGCTGAAACAGTGGGGGCTGCAGGCCTTGCAAAGCCAGGCTGACCTCGGCCCCTGCATCCTGGACTTCCAGAGCCGGAACGTCATCCCTGATATCCCTGACCACTTCCTGTGTCTGTGGGAGCACTGTGAGGTCAGCAGGCAGTGCCAGTAATTGGGGTGGAAGGAAGCTGGGGGTCTTAACTCTGAAGCCTTGTCTCTTTCAGGGATGCCTTCTATTTCCAAGATTCCTGCTAGTATCTCTCCTCCATTTCTTTTGCTCTCTTTAAAATTTATTTATTTTTTACACACAGGCTCTTGGTCTGAAACCCAGGCTAGAGTACAGTGGTGCAATCACAGCTCACTGTTACCTTTAACTCCTGGGCTCAAGCAATACTCCCACCTCAGCCTCCCAAGTAGCTAGGACTACAGGCATGTACCGCCATGCCCTGCTAACTTCCAAATTTTTTGTAGAGACAAGGTCTGGGTATGTTGCCCAGGCTGGTCTTGAACTCTTGGCCTCAAGTGATTCTCCTGCCTCAGCCTCTCAAAGTGCTGGGATTATGGGGTTGAGCCACCACCTCACCTGGCCACTCCTCCATTTCTGTGTAGTGCCTTTCTTCAAACTTTCCCATCCCCATCAAGTTAATTTGGGAGAGAGCCAATAATTCTTTGGGCACATAGGGGTGAGTCCCTCTACCCACCCTCAGTCCTCACCCCAAGTTGCCCTGGCACAGAGTTCCTTCGACAATCCTGAGTGGTTTTATCGGCATGTGGAAGCACACAGTCTGTGCTGTGAATATGAAGCAGTCGGCAAGGACAACCCTGTGGTGCTGTGTGGCTGGAAAGGTAGGGCTACTCCTTAACTTCTGGTCTCTGGAAGAAACCCTGGGGTTGCTGAAGAGCTAGGACAGAAAGGGATAGGGGTCCTACAGGGGCAAGGTTGGCTGCTGGCTGGAGGGACTCAGGGGTACCAGATCCTAGGCAAAACGGGTTTTGTGGCTGGAGACTGACAGGGCTTCCTTCCTAGGCTGTACCTGCACCTTCAAGGACCGCAGTAAACTTCGGGAGCACCTCCGCAGCCATACCCAGGAGAAAGTGGTAGCCTGCCCCACCTGTGGGGGCATGTTTGCCAACAATACCAAGTTCTTAGATCACATCCGTCGCCAGACCTCATTGGATCGTAAGTAGTCAGAGGAAGTGGGGTAGATGCAGGCTATCCTGCTTGCAATGGGTTAGGGGCATGTTTCTAGCGGGGGTGGCTGCTGAAGAGACCTGCCTCTTGGCTCCCTCTTCTTTTTGGGCTCAGGCACCTCCCATAGTCTCTTTGCTGATTCAGATTCGTAGACATTGTTATTCAGTACTTACTGTGTGTATTACCAGTTACTCAGGGAATCCTCACAACAGCCCCATGAGGTAGGCTTCTTATCCCCCTTTTTGCAGATGAGGAAACTGAGGCTCAGAGAGGTTAAATCACTTACCTGAGATCACACAGCTAGTAAGTGGTGAAGCTGGAATTCTAACTCAGGTTCTCCAAGTCCCATGCTCTTTCCATGATACTGTGTCCATTCATAGCTCCCTAAGCTCTCCTTTTCTCCTTGGGTGGTTCCCTTCTGCCTGGGATGGTTCCCCTCTCCTTTCTGTGCCTGTCCACTATCCCCTACAGCCCTCCTTTCTTCTGCCTGCCCCACCCCAGAGCAGCACTTCCAGTGTTCTCACTGTTCCAAGAGATTTGCCACGGAGCGGCTGTTGCGGGACCACATGCGCAACCATGGTGAGTGGCCTGCGGCCCCCCAGCCTCCCTGCTGCCCTCCAAGCTTCCACAAGTTCTCACATCACAGTCTCCTTTCTGCTTCTCTCAGTGAATCACTATAAGTGCCCTCTGTGTGACATGACCTGCCCGCTGCCTTCCTCCCTCCGCAACCACATGCGCTTTCGTCACAGTGAGGACCGGCCCTTTAAATGTGACTGTTGTGACTACAGGTAAGGGGGACCAGGGACCAGAACACAGCTCGTGTTCCTGTGTTCCCCATGTCCTCCAATCCCTCCTGATTTCTCATGGCAGCTGCAAGAATCTTATTGATCTCCAGAAGCACCTGGATACCCACAGTGAGGAGCCAGCCTACAGGTGTGATTTTGAGAACTGCACCTTCACTGCTCGCTCCCTCTGCTCTATCAAGTCCCATTACCGCAAAGTACACGAAGTGAGTGGGGCTGGTGGTGCGAAGGGCTAGTGGAAGTATGGGGGACCCTGGGGTGAAGAACTGGTATCATTTTACCCTTCCTTCCCCATCAGGGAGACTCTGAGCCAAGGTACAAATGTCATGTGTGTGACAAATGCTTCACACGGGGCAACAACCTCACCGTGCACCTTCGCAAGAAGCACCAGTTCAAGTGGCCCTCAGGGCATCCCCGTTTTCGGTATGTCTCTCAGCCCTCCTTCCCAGATTAACACACTTGTTTTTATACCTTTTCAACAAGTTGTGAAAACCTTAATTTGATGGTGGTTTTATGTCTACCATTTCCATTTAGATGCAAAGAATCCTAAGAATGATGGTGGAGCAAAGCTTATTTTTCTTTTTTTTTATTGTAAGGCATGGTGCCAAACCCAATTAATCGTGCCAAAAAGTCCTGCAGCCGGAACTAGAGCTAGAGTCTAAGGGTTCTGATCCTTAGCTCCAAGGCCTTCTCATAAATCCTTTGACACTTTCACCCTTCAACACAGTCAGTCTCTGTTTCTCTGGTTGGGTTTCTACGTAAAACTTTCCATTTTGAGTAATGATCTTTCCCTCTTGCCTTTTCTTCTACATATTCCAATAAAGACCTTTTTTGTCTTCAACTCCTGTCACTTGGAATCCAGGACTTCTTCCATCCCTCATGTTTGTTCCTTACTTTGCCAGCCTCCACGCCATTTCTGTATCCCCCTGCCTGGATTTGCTGCCCTTTATGCTCCTACCTCACCAGGTACAAGGAACATGAAGATGGCTATATGCGGCTGCAGCTGGTTCGCTACGAGAGTGTAGAGCTGACACAGCAACTGCTGCGGCAACCACAGGAGGGATCGGGCCTGGGAACGTCGCTGAACGAGAGCAGCCTGCAGGGCATTATTCTGGAAACAGTGCCAGGGGAGCCAGGACGTAAGGAAGAGGAAGAGGAGGGCAAGGTTGGCGACGGGACAGCCCTCTCAGCCTCTCAGGACAACCCCAGTTCTGTCATCCATGTGGTGAATCAGACCAATGCCCAAGGCCAGCAAGAGATTGTCTACTATGTGCTGTCTGAAGCCCCAGGAGAGCCTCCCCCAGCCCCTGAGCCACCCTCAGGGGGCATCATGGAAAAGCTTCAAGGAATAGCTGAGGAGCCAGAGATCCAGATGGTTTGAAGGCCGCAGAGCCAGACCATTTCTTCTCCAGGTCCTGGAGTTTGAGCCAGGCAAGTGGCTGTGCCCCTAGTGGACAGCCGTTGCCAATGGATGCCTTTAGGAGTGGTGCTGAGAGCAGTGTGGTCCACTCTGGTCTGGGTTTGCATCATTCTATGGACTCTAAAGACTTCCCTTTTCTGCCAGACTGCATTTTGTGGGGAGCCTGAGGACTTTGGATTCTTTGAGGGGATCCTAGATGTGTGTGTTCTTGTTAAAGAGGCTCTTATCAGGCTTAACCATAACCCTCAAGACATGCTTGACGGTGATTAAATCCTTAGCTCACATCCATTCCCATCTTTAGGGCTCCTTAGGCCCAAAGATGGCATGTGACTGGTCCCTACAAGGGTCCTTTCTTTGTTGCCAGCCAAGGCATTGAGAACCAATTAGCCATTTTCCTCTTAAGGTTTCCTCTACAACCCCAAGGACTTTCATGATTATCCTCAGGGACAGGATAGGAGGCATTGAGCGTGTTTATTAACAAATTGTTTTTGGTAATAAAAGAAATGCTTGGACTCTTACTCATTTCTTCTTACATTTGGTGGCAGTTTAATAGGTAATGAGGAGAATAGCCACCCAGAAGAGAAGCTGAATAGTTAGGCTTGTTCCCCTTCTGGTGACTCAGGTGGTTGGTTTTTTGTTGGCTTAACTGTCCTGTTGTCCTCTCCTCCTCCCCTTGGTGAAACTTCACTATTTCTTCTTAAAGTATATGCCATTTCCATGGAGGTCCCAGGTCTTTGGCTGTGAGTGGGCAGTAGTGGTACTATAGAATGAACAAGAATGGGCTCACCAGGAGGATAGGACAGCTGACTGTGGCCTCACTCTGAATACTGATTAGAACCCAGTGCCTCTAGGGTAGGGGTTCTTTACCTGGGAGTGGGAAGGAAGCTGGGGGTACAGAGTGGATTGGAAAGCCTCCTAGGGAAGGGAGGCAATCAAATGGTCCAGGAACCAAACTAAAAAATTATGTGTCTGTACATTTTCCTGGGGAAAGGATCTGTTTTTTGCTGGATTCTCAAAGAGATTGAAACCTTGCAAAATAAGAATCATTTAGTCTGGTTCAGCTACTTCTCAGCACCCTGTGTCCATTTTTATGGTCTACTGCTATACTAGAGAGGTCAAGGAAATAGTCTTGGGTGGACAGGAAGCTACCCAAAAAGGATCTCTGGGCCTTTTTTTTTTTTTTTTAGAAAAGAGAAAAAAAAGAAACCCACACA